GGGACATCGAGCACTCCCACATGAATGCTTCACAGTGACACACAGTGTCCCTCAATATCGTACAAAGGGACTTCGGATACGCCATCTGTACATAGCTGAAGCATTAGCTATTCGAGATCTGAAACCGGACCTCTGCATTCAAAAGTGATACATGCATTCTCTCGCCCTGCCATAGTCAGAGTAAAGTTCTTACTACATTTTTGCTTCTTTCCTTTATTATGTGAGTTCACTATTATTAAAACCTCGCCAGATACTAGCTTGCTAAGCTACTAGCTTACTAGTTTTCTCGCCGGTCCCAAGCCCGGGTAAGCAGGGAGGGTTGGGGCGTTGCAACTCTACGCATCATCATCGAACAAAGCATGGAATGGCGATTAAACCTCTACCTCAACTTTATAGACTGAGAAGGCTTTCGACAGCGTTGATCGTGAAGTAATTTGGAAATTACTCGAGTACTATGGTGTACCCCAAATATTCATCAACCTTATTCAACAGCTGTACGACAACGGCACCTGCCAAGTGATCCACAACGGAAGACTCAGCGAGGCGTTTGGAGTAAACACAGGAGTCAGACAAGGGTGCTTACTATCACCGATGATATTCCTAATTGTGGTGGACTGGATTATGCGTCAGACTGTGGGAAACGAGAAGACAGGAATATCCTGGACCGACGTGAAGAACCTAGAAGACCTGGATTTCGCGCGTGGATGATTTATGTTTGATGTCACACACAATCGAAGACTTACAAGCGAAAACCGACAAACTGGTCGAAGAAGCAGCAAAGACAGGACTCCAGATAAACATAGACAAGACGGAGTTTATGAAAATAACTAACCAACAACAGCAACAACATCCAACGTCAATCACCATCAACGGGAGGGATTTGAAAGAGGTTACTTCATTCACTTATCTAGGGAGCATTGTCTCAACTACAGGCAGTCGGGACGGATGAGGATGTCAAATCGAGAATCGGGAAGGCGAGAAACACATTCATCAGCCTGAAATCAATCTGGAAATCTTCGTCACTCAGCCAGCATCAACAACAAAATTCGGTCGGATTTTCAATACAAACGTCAAGTCAGTCAGTTCTTCTATACGGATCAGAAACTTGACGGGCGGGCGGGTCACAAAGAATATTTCCAACAGGTCACTGCAGACCTTTATTAACAACTGTCTTCGCTCAAAACTGAAGATCAGATGGCCGGAAAGAATCACAAACAAGGAATTATGGGAACAAACAAAGCAAGAACCAGTCGCCTAACAAATATGCAGGAGAAAGTGGAGATGGGTCGGACACTCGCTGAGGAGACCGCTGGGTGACATCGCGCGCCAAGCCCTCGAGTGGAACCCGAAAGGGAAGCGGCGTGTGGGACGTCCAAGGGTGACATGGAGGAGATCGTGTGAAGAGGAGTTGAAAGAATATGGATTAACATGGATGCAGGCGAAAAGTATAGCAGAAGACAGAAGAAAATGGAGACGTGCAGTTGAAGCCCTATGTTCCACTAGGAACCCAAGGGAGCAATAATAATAATCACTATTATTATTGTTATTGATACTTTTATTATCATTATTATTCCCATCATCCACATTTTATTACCACTCTATTACTGTTTATTAATAACATTTCTTTTTCATACAGATTTTATACAAAAACACTTTATCGCCTTTCCACTAGTTCCTGTCCATTCTGCACGAGCTTATTGATTAGTCATTATCCCACACTTATTACGTCATGCTAATTTGTGTCATCCCTTCTTACACCTTACATTATGTAATACAATTTTTCAGGGACAAAGTTTACCAGTATCTGATTGGTCTGAGCATTTTTTGTTAAATATAATTACGGTTGTACAGCTCATGAAAATGAACGGTTGAAAAGAAAATTTTCTTCGCTGTTTGTCCCTTTTTCTTGTAAATAAGTAGAAGCTTATCTGCCTTCACGATGTTCAAAAAGGTAGACATGATTTGAATTGGAATGACACGCCATAGCATTCTCGGTATTTATTCGGTTCTTGGAGGTTAACTTTAGAGAGCTTGACTTCAGCTATGATACTCTATCATGTACATTATTCTCTCTTGAGAATCCCTCTTCACTCTCTTCTCTTGCTTCGTGTGCTACATGGAGTGTAGGAACCTGAACAACCGCACATTTGTGCAAAGTTTTACGTTGAAACCAGTCAGTCTCAAAAAAAATGAAGTACATGTATTGACACTATCCAAAACCTATTATTACATTAATATATTAGGTGGGCTAAGAAGACTGCGTTAATTTTCAGGCACTGGCAGTAATAGGCAAGAAGTAATCCTCGTCACTCCTGGTAGCATATGCCTCATGAAGATCGAATTTCATTTTTATAGAATTCACAAGTAGAACAGACACTATCTAGTCAGGCGAGTTGACTACTATATGCGAGAATCGCAAATTCCACCGTTTCTTACGCGACTGCAAACTACATACGGTCTTATGATGACTTTTAAGAATTGTCCCTGAAGGATGAAAAGATTTTAGAGGTCAGTACACAAGTCACCATTTAAAATGCCAAACAAAAGGTAAGGTCATCTTCCCACCCACGTTACCACAAAAGGTTTGAAGATTATCGTCTCCTTGTAAGGTTTGAGATTCCACTAACTAGCCTAACACCTTCGAAAGCACGGGCTATAAGTCTGTATGTATTCTTGAAGTCTAACATACGTCAGGAAAAGTAACACTAAGCATATCGTTACTTGAGTATTTAAGGGTTTAACACAGTGCCGTTTTCGGTGGAACCTTGGCTGAATTACAATGTTTAGTATATCTGTAAAGTGCAACAGTTCTTAAATACATTTCTTTTGTAAAATCATTTCTGTCTTCCCTAAGAAGTGATTCGGGTTAAATTGCTGTCTAGGATGAATTAATTCACCTCATCTAGTATTCTTCCCACTTAGTAATGATTAGACCATCCAGTTAGCTCATCTAATTTCATCTGTATAAACTACTCGGGACATTATTAGTAAACTAACAAATCATAATACAACATGCACGTACCAATGAATGCATTCAAAATCTCAGGTAATCCACTGATCTATAGTGATACTATCATAGGTTGTAGGATAGTCTCCTGCTGCAGTCCACCACTACTACGAAAATTTTACTCCACTTCCTCTGACTTCATGTATTCTTTGGACGCAACTCTAGCCACAACTTTAGAAATTTCTATCAGCTCTGAGAAACTCACGAATTTTAATGAAACTTCTGTCTGTCTGTCTATCTGTTTTCGACATAGAACTTTGCACATATGTGCGGAAGTTCAAGTCGCCATACTCCCTCCATGTAGCACACAAAGCAAGAGAAGAAAGTACAAGAAAAGCATAATAGAGACAGTGAGCAGGGGTGTGAGACAAAGAAAGAGTATTAACGAAGAACAAAACAGTTTCATTGGAGATCATAAGTCACAAGGAGTGGATGCATCTGCGCGCGCCACTGAGAACGATTTTCAGCCATGTCAACAATTGTTTCCAACCATAGATTTTTACCGTCCCGAGGACCCCAGCCTGGAAGTCTACACCTTCCTACGTGGCTTAGACCAACTGTTGTGGATTTCATTGACTGGTGCCGAGTTTTTGTTTGACCGCCACTAGCTTTTTCCAGCCTGACCCTATATCCGCTAACATTGCTCGTCGAGAGAGGCGATGACTTGGCATACGAAACACATGTCCCAACCATCTCAGTCTTTGTAACTTCACGACTTCGTCGATTGATTTCCCCTGCTTACCTAGAACTCGACGCCTAACCTCCATGTTGCTCACCTTATTATGCCACTTTACACGGGAAATAGAACGCAGGCACCTATGATCAAAGACAGCTAATATTTTCATGTCTTCCACTCTCAGTGGCCAGGTCTCACAACCATAAAGGAGGACGGAGCGGACTGATGAGCAGTACACCCGCCCTTTGGTCGATAGTCGAACATCTCGTCTACGCCAGAGTCGGCGTAAACTGGCAAATGCGAAACGAGCCCCCTGTATTCTTGATGAGATTTCGTCAGAGATCAACCCGTTGGCACTGGCTGATGGTACTTCCCAAATAAATGAAGCGGTCGACGTGCTCTATCACTTCACTTCCTATTTTTAGACTAGGCGTCGATGTAGTCCAGTCCTGTAACATCATCTTGCATTTGGCGGGAGCGAATCGCATGCCAAACATTCGTAGATTGCGGCTCAAGGTGTTTAGAAGACTCTGCATTTCGTCAGCGTCTTCGCCTAGAAGGACTATATCGTCTATATTAATGAAGCTTAGCGTAATACATCTGACAAATATGCATCGAAAAACAGGCGATTTTTTTCAAAGCCCCAAAACTAGTCGAAATGCTTTAAGATCTGCTTGGAAAAACTAACCCTGTTCTAAAAGACCTAGAAATTTCCTCAAATTTAACAAAATTATTTTTGCGCCACAGAAAATACTAGTTTTTTCTGTACAAAGACATCAATTTGGTATTTGAGTGGCCAGAGCGAAGGAATAGGTATCCAAAGGGTTAAACGGGTCAATCACCTATAACCGGCCGATTTAGACGAAAGAATGGGAAGATAGTTAAGCACCAACAATCACGAAAGATTAGTATTAAGGAAGGTACCCTACCTAACAACCTTGCCGTTTTACAGCATACCTTTGTAAATATGGTGGTTTCTGCCTGTTGTCACTAACTCCACATACAAGTGTTGTAAGTAATGGGTGTTCTTGGATCGCCACTTTTTAACTTCATCTTCGACTGCATTACATCCCAGATAGCATTTTCTTCGGATGCACAGGCGAATGTGGGACAAGGCCCCTAAGCCAGCTTCAAATATTCTGTGAGTATATATACTCACAGTATATATACACACAGCTAAGAATTTGTTTGGGATCACTGTGGACTTGTGTATGGAAGAGTCATATAATTAGGCGAAATAATAGTCATGAGTTGGAATTTATTTTAATCCTCATAATGTATCGATTCTCTAAGATTTCCTTCGGCGAAACAACTTACGCAACACTGTGTCAAGTCTTTTTGAATTAATCCGAGGTCATTGTCGAATTTCAATGGACTCATGAATTGTTAACACTGACGCTTAACTGGTTTCTGTATCTAAAGACAGTAGACGAACTATCTTAAATATTGCTATTTTTTGCTTGAAAATAAAAAAATTAAATTTAAACAAACAGTAAATCTCTGCTTATCAATAACAGCCTGTCAAAGTACGTAATTTTTCAACAGTGAGATGAAGAAATGATATAGTCGCTCATGATTAATCAGTTTGTCATTAGAGTTTGAATAATTTCTGACACGATTTAGGTGCTTGGCAAAGTTTATAATTCCGGTCGGTTTTATAACTAACGATACATGCTTTGAAAGCACAGGAAAGAAATGATTTGCAGGTGGATTTATTTGTTGTATTCAATAAATTCATCTCATTCCAAAGTCTAAGGACTTCGCAGGAGTACACAATGTTCCGAAGGGGTGATGAATTTATGCGTATTCAGTTTTCGGTTGACTATTATCTCCAGCGAACCTTAAATTCGTAGTCAATATCTGGATTAATCCTGATGGAAACAACACAGTTGATGTTCCATTTAAGTACATCTGCATTGTCTTTGTTGTCACGAAAATCGTACGGCACGCATGACATTTTTACGGAAGAACATATATGTACTGTGTGTGCAGATGGAACCTACTGACAGTATAAGATGACTACTCATCAAAATTATCTGTACATCTGAAATATAATTTTTGTTTGGTAGACACTTTTTCAGGGAGTCTGCGTTCTTTCTGTTGCAATGCGACTGTGTTCCAGTAGTATTATTAACATGTGCTAGGGTGGGAATTTGAAGTTAACTATTCGGAATTAATGCGGCATCTGGGAAACTTCTGCCAGTGCGATTAGATATCAGATAGTAGCGTACCGTGTTCCGTGGCTGCGGACCGTAGGCATTCTGTTTTGAACTATTATAATAATCGCAGTCGCACTGAGTCATGTGTCTAACAATATAGATAAGGTCTTGTCCCTGTGGTACACTGCGACACGTAGAATTATAAGCACACCATCTCAGGTAAGTTTATTTTCACTTTGTGATTATGAATCGCGAGTTAGATGATGTGTTCTGCTAGGACGATAGACAACTCTAAACGCTTTATAACCTCAGTACTTTCGTTGAGGTGTGGACTTATCTGCTTTGTTTGACTGCAAAATAACCTTTTTATCAACAAACTTCTCCGAATATCTACTTTTACTTAGTATTTCAAAGACAACCTCATATGCTCTGTGCCTCGCAACTTACCCTCAGGCTAATATTCAGCCTTATCGTGTAGGACATACAAAAGAATAACAAGGCATATATTTATTGATGAATGAATATGCAATACGAAATGAATGAAAATGTGGAAATCTTTTTTTGGCACCCAACTCTCTGGAATTCCTGAATTCAGCTATTGCCTGAAAAAGGAAATAAGGATTCAAAAGGTGTAAACATTGCTACCACTACCACTACAAATATAAACTTTAATTAACTAAAGTGGTAGGAAATACAAAATAATATATTGAATTGTGCTTTGCTGCGTCAGTCAAAATTTTTCAGCCAGAGGAAATGGGCTCTTTACCTGCCTGTAAACATTAAGTCCAAGTCGTATAAAAGTAAATACCATGTGTGTATAATTCCGAAATATTTCCGTAGATTTCCGTTAAAGAGATGCATGTAGAGAAGCTTTGAGATAATCAGCACAGGCAGACAAAAAAGTAAGTGAAAATAATCAACAAAACGAACTAGCCAACCTCGTCATATCAATGTTTAATCCTTTGAACTGCGGAGAAACATCACTAAAACTAGTTATAACGTGTGTCTTCAAGTAACCTGGCATTTTCTAAACAAAACAGTGAGTATTTCAACAATTGGCAAACTTGCCGTAAATTACGTGAGAACAAGAAACCATCTTACGCTATTTATGCCAGGACCGTTTCATTTCATCGGCTTTTAGCAGGAATACAAGCAGAAAAGTGTGTAATACAAGGAATACTTTCCAAATATTAGGTTACTTCAATAAGTGTAGTGGGTAGACATTACCCGATCAAATGACCTTAGTCGTCTACGGGCCACTCTTACGTATATTTAAACACAATCAGCCAGTCAGCAGCATTAAAAGCACCTTAAGAAAAATTACATAAGTTGATTAAGAATATTGTTTCATGAAACTTGGAAGATGATACGACCTCATCCTAAAACTCATATAGTCAGTTCAGCGAACTGACTGGTGAGGACATATATGTAAATTTTGGGCACTGTGGTAGTGAGCAATTGCATATTAGTTTGTTTATTAGATATATCACACAGTGAAACAGTATTATTTACTGTGATTTACAATTTGGGTATTGCTGATACGTACCAAAATGATGGCACTACCATTTCACCGGAGGAACACCTAGTGGCGGCTCCTCAAATAAACGCGGGAATAATACTGAGGAAGCTACATAAACTCACACCTGAAGACTCCCTAGGTTGTGGCGACATCGAACCATCTGTTCTGAAACAGTGCGCCCAAGCTCTCCATAGGCTCATATGCGACTTGTTCGAACACTCGATAGACTCTCAGAAACTGCCAAGGAGTAGAAAAAATCAATCCTTTCTCCTATGTTCATGGGTGGGGAGAGGCAAAATGCCACTAGTTATAGATCAGTAGCCCTACTATCAGTGATACCAAAAGTACTGGAAAGTATTATTGATGATCATATCAGGGAGCACCTCGATAGACCTAACGGACTCCATGAAGCCCAACACAGTTTCAGGAAAGGCGGATCCCGGGTAATAAACCTACTCTCAACTTGGGGCGATTGGATATCATTCTGGGATATGAATGTGTAGTGCACATTGTACCCTTGAACTTTTGTTAAAACTCGCTCACCCAGGTTTGACACACTTTTATCTTTTGAGTTGTGACCCTTCAGTACGTTCATTGGTTCGCTCTCTCGTGCTCTCTTTCTGCACACTCTCCGAGCCCACTTCCAGCAACGTCTGCAGATAAGTTGTATGACTTCTTTATTTATTGAATTCCATATTACGTTGAATAAAATATAATTCTCCCAGGTACCCTTGTCACATTGTCTTTTTACCGCGATACAATTTGTCAGTATTTGCACGTCGAGTAGTGTACTGTTAAGGTCGCGAAACGGTGAAGAAGTTTGTAAGGGTGTTTAGAGTATAGGTCCACTCTAAGCCGTAGTAGAATACTTACAAGTGGTGAGCCCGTGTGTCAATGGAGTTGAAGATTGAACGATCAATTCTTGGTTGTTTGCTCAAAACCAACTTCCCCGATTTTCGCGGAGGCATCAATACGACAGTCATCGTCTCATCGGTCGCTGTTCAGAAAGAAGTCAGGAGACAACCATCAGAAGTAATCTTGTGATTTATTATTGTAATATTTGTTCACAGACCTTAATAGAAATATTTTTTATATGTTGGTGTTACAATAAAGAATTCCCAAGCGGCCAATCGGTGTTTTGGTTTTTTCGTCCGTTATTACTAAGCGTTTCTGAAAAACTTCAAGGAACAGCGTGGGCCCGAGCGTAGCAAGAGCTGGGCATTAACGGTTTATGAGACGTGACTGACAGTTTCTGATGGTAGAAACGGACTTTGGCGGATTCAGACAGTCTGTGAAAGTTTGGAGAGTCACCGTTCATCTTTCCTGGTGCCGGTCAAGTCCTCTTTGAACAAGCAATATCTCGAACATTTCTGGAATTGGGTCAAGTTCAACAATGCCTGGGTCAAAGAAGGGACAGAGTGTCTTGGATGCAAACAGGAAAGTAAGTCATTGTGACTTGTCTGTTAATTGTAACGATGTGTCTGATGTTAAGCATGACATGGTTGATGTTACTGTTTCGCCGTTCAGGGATAATAGGAACATCAAACTCCCTAAGTTTGAACCACGGTGTTTCGATGGAAACCCGGCCGATTATTTACAATTTGTAAAGGAGTTTGAGATCATGTTGAGTGGTTTTTTATTAACTGATGAATTGAAGTTAATGTATTTGATGAGGCATTGCACTGGAGTTACTGCAAGAGCTATACAGTGCTGTAAGTTTATGAAGCCAAAAGAGGGCTACTACGAGGCTATGAGCATACCACGTCAAAGGTTTGGAAGACCTTCGATGATTGTAGGGAAATTATTCGAGGCTGTAAAGGGTAATGGTGGTCAATTACAGGATGACTCCCAGGCACTCACTGAGCTTTAGATAATTTGCTAATTTACAAGAATGCAATGATTTCGATGAATCGCATGAGTGACCACAACTCGGGTTTTATACTAGAAGTAATACCAAGACGTCTACCTACTCGACTGCAAAGGAAGTGGGTGAAGATAAGCTCCCGTATGGAGGATGAGGGTATCGAGCCAAAGTTTGATGATATCCTGAAACTGGTAAATACTAGTGTCAATCAATCTATGAGCAAGTTCGCCAGTCTATTACATCTCACCCCTAGAATAGAGCAGTCTGAGAGCAAAATGCAATCATTGATGACGAGTAGGCCTCAGAGAGGCGGATATCGAGAAGGCTCCATGATGTATAGTAATGCATATAGATCCAGTGAGTGTAACAGATTTCGTAGTACATCCTCAACAGACAAGTTGCAAGCTGCAAGAGAAACACGGTTGTGTTTTACACGTTTCCAAGAGGTGCATACAGAAGTGAACTGTGAATCAGTGAGCAAGTTCAGTGATAAGCTAAATGTAAACTCCAGGTCTGACTCCGAATTGTGTGACGATAACGGTGCGGTGAAGAAGTCTGTAGTTACAACTGGTAAGCCATTGTTGAATAGAGTGTCACAGAATAGAGTTACTGCTTCAGAGTGCAGTTCTGACTCCAAAAGTTTACAAAGTATAACTAGTCAGAGTGAAGGTATAAAACCTCTAATGATTTGTGAGGAGGAACCAAAATTGTCTACTTCTGTTATTAAAGAGTTTGAAAATGATGAACTTGACGGTAAATTGAATATATGTGGTAATGATCACGATAGTGCAGATTTGTCTTTGGTTGATCATGATGAAATGGAGGGAAAGCCTACTACGGCTAAGTTAAATAAAGGTTCTGTAGAACTTGAACGTGAAGTAGAAATAAATGCAGGTGCAGTTACAG